AAAAGTCGCCTGGAATCTAATAATCTAGGGTGTGGGAATTTCCGGTAATATTTTTTCTTGGGAACCAAACAGTAGAAAATATCTGATTCTATTTTCTTCTTTTCCAAAATTTTAATTAATTAATTTTTTTTTCGCAGAGATTGAGAACCCAGCTCGCGCCTGGGTTGGTTGCCAACCCAGTCTCGCGAGCTGGGTTCATCCTGGGTTCGCGAAGAAGATGAGGATAGAAATAGGAAATGAAAGGATAAAGGGAAACAATGATTTTTTTCTTTTAATTATTTTAAGACCTATTGATTACATGGAAAAAAAAATTTGATTGCCAACTCATCAATTTTGCCACGTGTAATCTTATGTCACCATTAAAAAGAAAAAAAAAAGACATTTAACGGATAATTGTGTCATGCTGTCACTTAACTGACAGAAGGACTAAAAAGGGGCCGGATTTCAAACAGTAAGGATCAAAAAGGGGATTTTTTGGGTATAGGGACTAAAAAAGGGCTTTTTCCTATAGTAGAGGGACCAAAAAAGGTATTTAACCTATATTTTTTTGTTTCATGCAGTTTTGATTGTAAAAAAGCAAAATCTTTTTCACTACTAAAATTTCTATTTTCAGCAACATGCTTTCATGTTGCTAAAAATGGTTCATATGTTGCTGAAACTCTTTTAGCAACATACCTCTAGTTGCTAAAACCTTTGTTGGAAATGCCTTGGTGGCTGATACATTAGCAACATGGAGCTTGTTGGTGATGTATCAGCAACATGAGGCACATTGCTGAAAATATAGTTTCAGCACATGCCTCATATTGCTAAAAATTTTGCCAAATTTCGGTAAAAAGTTCGGCCAATGTTTTGAATTTTTTCAGCAACATAAGCCACGTTGCTAAAACTAAAATTTTAGCAACGTGACTTATGTTGCTGAAAGTTTAAGGGAAATGGTGGTTTTTTTAGGTGGTTTTCCTATTCCATTTTCCGCAACAAGAGCCATGTTGCTGAAAGTTTAGGAATAGTACGTCTCCTAGTTTTTAGCAACATATGCCTTGTTGCTAATATTTATTTGCATACTTCCCCCGTATTTGTTGATATTAATTAACTATATTAATAAATTTTAGCTTAATTAATGCAAATTAAATAAAATCAATTAATCAATGTCTTATTATGTATTTTACCAAACTTGAATTTTATTTTATTAAGAATTACATACAAAACAAATAAAAGAACAAAATTATTAATTACTAAAGATAATTATTTATAAATATATT